AAAAGATCATATCATTGTGAACGAGGGGGAGTGCAGAGTGGAATAGAAACCCAAAGCCCATCTGTAGGCAACAGGACATCCCCTAACAGAGGGTCTCAGGGAGAAGAGGAGTTAGTCAAGGGGCAGTATAGAACCAATGAAACATACAACTTTCCTTTAGTTCTTTTATGCTTCCTTCCCCCCACTATCATGACCCCAATTCTACCTTACAAATCCGGCTAGACCAGATATTGTACACTGGTACAGATCAGAGCTAGAAACACAGGGAATTCGGGACAGATAAACCCCTCAGGACCAATAATGAGACTTGCAATAGCAGGAGGGGAAGGGGAAGGTAGGGTAGAAAAGGGGAACTGAACACAAGGATCTACATATAACCCCCTTCCTGGGGGACCGAAAACCATCAAATGAGTGAAAGGAGCCTTCGGAGAGTGTAAAACATGACAAAATAATAATAATTTATAAATTATCAAGGGTTCGTGAGTAGGGAGGGTGGGGGAGGGAGGGGGAAATGAGGACATGATACCAAGGGCTGAAGCTGAAAGCAAATTATTTGAGACTGATGATGGCAACAAATGTACCAATGTGTTTGACGCGATGGATGGATGGATGGATTATGATACGAGTTGAATGAGCCCCCAATAAAATTATTTTTTAAAGAAAAAAAGTATAAATAAAGAGACATACAATCCTTACACAGGGAGTGCCAATACAACAACCTTGTTGGAAAGCACTGAAGCGATCTATTTAAAAATAAATTGTGCAGATCGTTTACGTCATATGCATGAGTGAGTTGGACCTGGGATGGGGAGGACCAAAGCAGACGGGTGCATTTGAGCGATGTGTGGATGCGGAGCATGAAGCGCTCGACTGCCCAAAGCAGAGCCACGTCGGTGTGGGGTAAGAACAGCCAGAAAACGTCGAAGAGGCAAGGATGCAACCATTGCGTTGTGCTCGCACATTCTATGGGTTGGGAATTCCATCAGGGGAAATCGCCTTTCTCTGCTCACACTCTTCCCAAATTGAACAGCTGAGTGTGATTCAGACTACTGAGGGCCGAAGCCATGTGCAGGCTTCTCAACTGACAAGTCTGGCTTCTGGCCTGGGCTGACCCAAGGGCTGAGCTCAGCTGAGGCTGTCAATGGGAAGGACGACATGTAGCCTGTCCATGTGGCTTGGACTGCATTCACTTGGCAACCCACAAGGGTGCATCTAGATCAGCAGTTCTCGACCTGTGGGTCGTGACCCCTTGGGGCTCAAAGGACCCATTTACAGAGGTTGCCCAATTCATAACAATAGGAAAATTACAGTTATGAAGTAGAAATGAAAATAATTTTATGGTTGAGGGTCACCATAACAGAGGAACTGTATAAAAGGGTCGTGGCATAACGAAGGATGAGAACCACTGGCTTAGAGAGTGAACTTTCCAAGAGAGCTCACAGAAGCTGCCACGTTTTCCAGATACTCTTGCTTGGAACCCAGCTGTCCTGGTGTGGGGAGCCCCAAGTCACAGGAGAGGCCACGTGGAGATGATCCAATCAACTGCCTCAGCTGGGCCCAATGTGTAACTATTAAGCCACCAAGACTGGACATGCGCTCATGTAACTAAGAAACTGATGCGATATGTACATACTATGTGTCACAAGGGTAAATAAAAAGGCATCGCAGCTGCAGTCCCGGTTCAGGGATGCCCAGGTTTACTCCAAAGAAAGCCTGCGTGAACCTGTCTCTGCAACGAGTGCATGAACCTAGATTGGCAGGTCAGGCAGCAGGCTGCTGGCTCATGGGCCGCCGAGGCGGATCCGTCCTGACATTGGTGGGCAATACAATAGGCCACCGTCTCAAGTCTCAAAACCCAGGTGTCAGATGATGGGCCAGATGCGGGATTTAGATCGAGCAAAAGGCTGGTGGACTTTGCCAGAGTTCACATATAGGAAGGGACTTCACACGTTGGTGGGGAAATTCCATGTTTTTAATTCCATTTTTCCATTAACTTTTAAGTGTCCCCTCATGTTGGATGTAGGCCAAACTACTGAGGAAACTCCATGTCAAGTGATTGGCAGTTCATAGCAAATCTTATCATGGAGATGGTTATATCATGGAGTGATAACTGTCAAGCTGTCTCATGACTCCCAAACTAGAGAATCAAGGCCCAACCAAGGCTCCGGACCATGTGGAGACAGGACAAACCATCCCTGCTGAGCCCTGTCCAAATTACTGACCCTCAGAATTTGTGACTATAACAAAATGTTTGTCATGTTCAAGCATTTTTTGTAAAAACTAAACCGAAAAAATAACAATAGCTATAATTTTACCATTAACATTCATTCAGTATTTTTATATGCCAGATACATAATAGACTATTTTGTGGACATTATCGTATTTAGTCAATACAGTGGTCCCATAAAGGTCTTTTTAATTTCCACACAGATGCAGAAGCTGAGGCAACAGGAGTAAACAGAGTTGCCCATCATAGAAAGTCTGGGAGCAGAGATTTGAATGCACTGTCTAAGTGTAGAGGCCACAAGCACTAAGTATTCTGCCACAACACACTGCACACAGCTCTTTGTACGTATCATCTTCCAGATGTTGCCATACATCTCACACAGCTGTAGTGATGGTACACAGAAATGTTTGCAAACTGATCTCATTTAGGATACTCCTGTCATTTCGTATATTTCTACATCGCTTTCAGAATCATCCTTTTTCAGGGCTGCTTAGTTTGTTGATGACTAATGCTGACTTGGAGGTGCCTGGGTGTACTGTGGCTGAGCACTGTGTTGTTAGCTGGAAGTTGGTGGTTCAAACCCACAAGTCGATTCATGGGAGCCAGATGAGTGGGGGGAACCAGCCCCTCACAACGAATCACGGGTTCAGTAAGTACAATTGTACGGTTAAGATATATTAAGATTATAGTAAAGTCATAGAGGAATGGGAGAAATGTGAGAAAGAGAATAAAATAAAGGAATCTGACACATTTCATGGTAGCATGCTCACCTCCTAGATGGCCATGTTCTCAACAGCCCGGTCCGCGCATAGCATGGGGCAGAGAGGGCAGGAGAGAGCATGATTTATTACTAACCAAGGCCTATATATATTTTAGGGGTGTGCATGTCCCCTAATTGCAGGTAAAGACATACATCACAGGAAGGGGTTGTATAATAGGCATAAGTGTAACAGGAAGGGAATGAGCTAGGGATGTACACAGAATAGGAAGGGGAGGGACTAAAGGTCTACATGTGACAAGGGCAGACCCTACATTCATGATGGGGGCGTAACCGTGGTCACCCTTCAGTGGGCTTGACCTCCCTGGGCTCTCTACTACTATCCTTATCAGAAGGGCGTGGGCCCTACTTAAGGTGGGTCAGACTATACAGTCTGGTTGTTCTAGATGGCTGATACTCTTAGGGAGAATAACCTCTGACCTCCTTTCATTGACCTCCAAGTGTACAGTCATTTACCATGCGTGGCAAACAGCTAAGTTTGGCATATATATATTTGGGGGAGACAACTTGGGAGAAATCTTTCTGTTTCCCACAGATGAGCCCGTTTACACCCATGAGCATTACAGCCTTGGAAACCCTGGGCAGCAGCTCTGCTCTGCTCTGTAGAGTCGCCAGGAGTCAGAATCAATTCAAAGGCAGTGGGTTTTGAAAGTGTTGACTGAGGAGCCCTGGTGGTTCAATGGTTGAAGCACTTGCCTATTAACTGGAAGGTGGACGGTTTGACCCCACCAGCTTGTCTGAGGGCGGACGATGTGGTGGTCTGCTTCCGCCCGCAGACACAGCCTGGGAAGCCCTGTGAGGCACTTCGCCTCTGTCCTATGGACTCACTGTGGACTGGCACCAACTGCAGGGCAGTGGGTTTGATTTTTTTTAATGTTGATTTACTGTATGGATTGGCACCAACTTCAGGGCAGTGGGTTTGATTTTTTTTAATGTTGATTTACTGTAACCGCACAAATAATTGCCCTATTATTATTGTCTAAATTGCTTACAGTTTCCTTAAATTGTAAAGGATAGCATTGCAGCATCCATCTTTATACGTTTGTAGAACTATATTTCTTTCTATAAATTTTAGAAGAGCACTCCATGGGTCAAAGACAGTTTTAATCATTTTCACTAAGTACCCCTTAAATTTCCAAAATATACAGCATTGTGGAAAATTGATACAATTTTTAAATGTTCTCTGATTTAGTGGGTGCAAAATGGATATTGAACAGATATTGAAACATGCTGAACTAGGCGCAAGGCAAAGGGTCAGGATTCCCAGGGGATATTTGGAGAGGTGAGTCCGATTCCTAACTACAAGAGACCAAAACCTCTGAGGAGAAACAACAGCAGGAAACAAATTATGGAAATTCAGGTACAAAAGAGAAATGGCACTGAGACATTAAAATAAAGGGGAAAACAAGCTTAAGGAAGATTTCCTCCTGCAGAAGAGTCCCAAGAAGGCTTCCCAGAGAAGCTTTTAGAAATGCGTCTGAAAGGAGAGCCAGAAACTCGAAGACAGAAATAGGGCAGGGACAAAATTGTGAGCCAGGAGCAAAATGAGGATGCAAAACCGCATGGTGAGTTTAGTGAGAAGATCACAGATCACCTGTGAAACCCAGGGGGAGGGGTGTTGTGAGCTCACCTGCCGTTTGTACTGACCTTTCACACAGCCAGATGGAAGGAACAAAGCCATGTGTGGGAATGCGCTCCGCATGCCAATGGTCCCCCTGTCCAATGCTACCATCCGTCCACGTTGTGACCAGAGCTTGGCTTTGCTTTTCTGTATCACAGACTTGGTCCAAACCACAGAACACACCTGCCCTTGAATTGCCAGATAAGGGCCCTGGGGGAACCCAGGTAGACACACGAGATGGGCCCTTGGGAACTCGGGCTCTAGGACCCAAAGTGCTTTCTGGTTCTCTGCTCTTTCCCCCTAGGAATCCTTTTCAGTCAAGGAGAGAGGTGGAAGCACATGCGGCGCTTCTCCCTCCTGACCCTGAGGAACTTTGGAATGGGGAAGAGGAGCATCGAGGAGAGGATCCAGGAGGAAGCCCGGTGCCTTGTGGAGGAGCTCCGGAAAACAAAGGGTGAGTCTCACTCAGCAGACCTTTGGGAGCCAGGATGTCCCCCCACACTGACCTACACGCTCCTCCTCGGGGAGGCGCTTAGGAGCTGTGTCTGCTGTGTTAGTCCAGGTAGACTAGAGAAACACATTCATAGAGATACTCGTGTATAAGAAAGAGGTTTATATACAAGAGCAATTGAACATTGAGAAAACAGCCCAGCCCAGTCCAGATCAAGACCCTAAGTCCGATATTAGCCCATATGTCTGAAACCAATGTATACAGTCCTCTTCAGACTCACGAAACACATGCAATGACAGGCCAGAGGGTAGAACGTCTTTGGACCAGTGTCAATGGAAACATCTCAGCTCTGGCAGGGGTCTCTGCATGGCTTCTCCAATGCCCTGGGCTGCACCATGGTGGGTCCATGTGTCTTGTCAGGTGCTATGTCTCTCAGGGTGTGAAGCAGGGAGAGAGTCTTCCCTGCCTCCAAGGAGGAAAATACTGGATTTCCCAGAATTCGCAGGAGAAGGCCATGCCCACACAGAGGCCTCATTGGCTATGATCTGATTGACAAGCTAGGCTTCATCCCTACACTCTTAATCCTCAAATTGACAAACAATTATGTATCTAGCACAGCTGCTAGCGAGCAAGGTCAGCAGTTTGAAACCACCAGCTGCTCCTCAGGAGAAAGCCGCCTCTTTCTACTCCAGGAAAGATCCAGTCTTGGAGACCCGCAGGGGCGGTTCTATGCTGGCCGAGTCAGAATCGGCGGCACCATTGAGTGTCCGAGCCCAGGATCTGCTCTGATGCAGGGAGTTAGTGAGGAGAAAGGAGTGGGGCAGATAATGAGTCAGGACTCTGGCATCCTTTTGTCTTGGTTGATGTCCCAATGGGGCTCTTACCAAACCAAACCCAGCCCCACCCCAGGAGAGGCCATTCCACCGCACAGCCTCCTGGGGGACAGAGCATCACTGTTCCACAGCGTCTCCAGGATGTCACTCTGGATGGAAGCAGACTGCACAGCTCCCTCTAGGGAGAGGCTGGTGTGTGTCCTCTTGGTTAGCAACCTCCTGCTTTCAACACTGTGTGCCCAGGGCTCCCTGCGCACCACGAGTCCAGACATTCAGACACGGAACTTAGCTCCGCTAGGACATTTTCCTCACCCTAAAAAAATAGGGCTACAAGTCAAACCTCAGGACGAGGACTGAATGATAGAAACGTGTCCATAATACTCCAAAGTTCACCGCCTTCACCCCCATGTCACTCATAGCGCCTCTGTAGGACAGGGGAGAACGGCCCCTGTGGTTTCTGAGTCTGTCACTGTTTTTCTGAGAGTAAAAAGCCCATCTTTCTCCCACGGTGCGTGCTGGTGGATTTGAACATCGGGGCTTGCAGACAACAGCCCGCCACATCGCCAGGGCTGCTTCATAAGACCCAGCCTGTGGTAAACACTGCATAACATGACGGCTGCTGTTAGTAGATGGTGAAGTCCTGGGTGGTGCAGGTGCTTAATGTGCTCACCTACGAACTAAAGGCCTGAAAACTCTCCCCAAAGTCAGCCATTACACTCCCCATGGGTCACAGTCCTGCTCTGACACACGTGGAGCCGCTGTGAGTTGGAGTGTATCGTCACGTGTCCTCGTGGAGCACCGTGGTCAGTCTTAGGAGCAGTCCAATCGTACGTCGCCGTGACTGTGTCTGCCCCAGAGCAGAAGAGGTCTTGTGCTTGGAATGACACTGCAGGGTGCTCCCCTTTCTCCAGGTCAGAGCTGTTCTTTTCTTCCACCAGCCCAGCCCTTTGACCCCTCCTTCATCTTCTCCTGTGCTCCGTGTAATGTGATCTGCTCCGTCCTCTTCAACGAGCGTTTCCAGTACACTGATGAGAGGTTCCTGTACCTGATGAATTTGCTAAATGAAAATTTCAGGCGCTTCAACTCTCGATGGATCCAGGTGAGGCTGAGACTGTCTCTGCACTTGGGGTTCTCTTCCTGACTCAGAATGCCTTCAGGGTGAGGGGTGAGGAGTGCTGACCCACTCCATGGACCAAGTGCCAACGTGGGCAGGCCACTTTCCCTCAGTCTTGGCCAGATGGATGAGTCAGCATCACTTAGCCCAGCATCGAGGCCAGGTTGCCCTCTGCCTCCCACCATGGGTTTACTCAGACAAAAGAAGGCAGCACATTCTGCTCTCAGGGTTCTTGTAAGGACCCTAAACTCCTATTCTCCGCTGTGGCTAGGCAGAGGAGACCCGAGCAAGCAGATGGGAAGGGCTGTTCTCTTGCATCGAAGTCTCTCTTCTTTATGAAAGCTGGGGAAAGGACGCTGCTTGGTCAGATAGCTCAGAGGGTTAGGCGTTCCATTCCAAACGCTGGTCTCCTTTCACAAACTGAATTTCCTGTGTGTGTGTGTTTGTGTGTGTGTGTGTGTGTGTGTGTGTGTTTGTGTGTGTGTGTGTGTGTGTGTGTGTGTTTGTGTGTGTGTGTGTGTGTGTGTATACACACATACACACTTTTTTTACCTCCCCATTTTCAGTTGTATAATCTCTGGCCAACACTCATAAAACATCTTCCTGGAGAGCACAGAGCATTCTTAAGAAGAACTCAGGACATGAGAAATTTCATCATGGAGAAAGTCAAGGAGCATCAAGAGTCCGTGGACCCGAACCACCCTCGGGACTACATTGACTGTTTCTTGAACAAGATGGAGCAGGTACACTCTGTGCTGTCGTCCCCAGGCACCCAACCTTCTCATTCCGTGCAAGTACAACGCGCACGCATAATTACACCATGTAGGTAATTCTTGATATGTTGGTATCTCATAGCAACAGCAGACACTCTTGTCATTAATAATGTTGTTACTAGTTACCGCCATGTCAGCGCTGACTTGTGCCAGCCTGATGTGGGACAGAATGTGTTACCTGGTTCTGTGCCATCATCCTGAGGTTTGTGAAGCCATGATTGTGGCTGCTGAGCCAGTCCATCTGCTCCCCTCTTTGCTTACCTTCTGTTTGACCAGACATCCATGTCCTTTCTCAGTGTTGGTCTTTCCTAATGACATGTCCAAAGTAAAGGAGTCGAAGTGTCTTTAACTCGTGTGGCCGTGAACTCTCCCACTTTCAGGAGAAAGACAATCCGGCGTCCGAATTTAACTTGAGGAACTTGGCAACTTGTGGATCTAATTTGTTTGTGGCGGGAACAGAGACAACGAGTAGCACCCTGAGATTCGCGCTCCTGCTGCTAATGAAACACCCTGCCGTGGAAGGTACATCAAACACCCTAAGAGCCATGGAAGGATGGGGTCAGGGTCCTGGAGAGCGGAGGGGAGACACAGGCCAGTATCTGCTGCTCTTTCTCTGGGATGCCGTGCAGAACCCCAAGCAAAGGGCCGTTCACTGTGGTTTTATTTTTATAGAGCAGAATCCCATGATGGTGTTGATAAGATAGAGGAGTCGTTTGGGGGCAGGGCTTGGCACCCCATCAAACTCGACCAGAAAACACTCCTTAAGGCCAACAAACAGTCCTTGAACTAACTACAGGATTTTCTTTGTTTTTGTTTTTTTCTGTCATTGGATTTTTGGTGTTGCTGTTGATGTTTTGTTTTCTTTTGTTGCTTTGTTTTGGTCTGTCTTGTTTTTGTGAATGTTATTATCTCTGCAGGTCTGTCTAAATAAGATAGGTTGGATGAGCAATCTGGAGGGGGGGGTGGGGGAAAGGAAGTGGTGTTAACAAACCCAAGTACAAGAGAACAACTAGTGATCCAAATCAGTGTTGAGGAGGGTGTAAGAGGCCTGGTAGGGCGTGATCAAGGGCACTGTAACCAAAAGGAATTACTGAAACCCAAATGAAGGCTGAGCATGTTAGTGGGACAAGAGGAAAGAACTAAGAGGCAAATGGGCATTTATAGTCTAAATAAAGGCATGTACATATAATATATTTATATATGAGGATGGGGAAATAGATCTATGTGCATATATGTATAGGTTTAGTATTAAGGTAGCAGAGGGATACTGGGCCTCCATTCAAGTACTCCCTCAATGCAAGAATACTTTGTTCTATTAAATGGGCATTGGATGACGCTCACATTCCTGACACGATCGCTGAAGACAAAGTGGGTGCATAAGCAAATGTGGTGAAGAAAGCTGATGGTGCTCAGCTGTCAAAAGATATAGCATCTGGGGTCTTAAAGGCTTGAAGGCAAAGAAGTGGCCATCTACCTCAGAAGCAACAAAGCCCACATGGAAGAAGCACACCAGCCTGTGTGATCACGAGGTGTTGAAGAAATCAAGTATCAGGCATCATCAGAACAAACAATCACATCGTTGTGAATGAGGGGGAGTGCAGATTGGGGACCCAATACCCATTTGTAGACAACTAGACATCGCCTTACAGAAGGGTTGTGGGAGGAGATGAGCCAGTCAGGGTGCAGTGTAGCAATGATGAAGCATACAACTTTCCTCTAGTTCCTAGATGTTTCCTCCCCCCATCCACCCCTGCCACTATCGTGATCCCAATTCTACCTTACAAATCTGGCTACACCAGAGGGTGTACCCTGGTACAGATAGGAACTGGAAACACAGGGAATCCAGGACAGATTATCCCTATAGTACCAGTTCTGAGAGTGGTGATTACGTGAGTGTAGAGGGAGGGTGGTTTGGAAAGGGGGAACCAATACAAGGATCTATATATAACCTCCTCCCTGGGGGATGGACAACAGAAAAGTGGGTGAAGGGAGTGGGTAAGATATGACAAAACAACAATAATTTACAAATTATCAAGGGTTTATGAGGGAGAGGTGAGCAGGGTGGGAGGGGAAAAATGAGGAGCTGATACCAAGGGCTCAAGCAGAAAGCAAATGTTTTGAGAATGATGAGGGCAACAAATGTATGTGTGCTTGACACAATGATATGTGTATGGATTGGGATAAAAGTTGTATGAGCCCCCAATAAAATGATTTAAAAATATATAGAGAGGAGTGTTTTGAGACCTCAATACTTGTGATGAAGCTTAGAAACAGAGGGAGGTTCTGAATTCCACATCATATTTATGAGCTGCAAAGCCAAAGAAGAAACCCGAATTAGATGAGGGACGCGTGGCTTTCCATGATGACTTTTCATCTTGAGCCGGCCACTACCAGAGAGTGGCTTTTAACAAGTTATGTTATGCTGCCTATGGGCCTATGTTTCCCAGTCTTTACAATGGATCCGTTTCCCTAAGCAAGATTTCTAGCACCAATTGCCTTTGAAATTCAAAGCTTTTTGAATTTGTGTTCATTGGATTTTCTCCCACTTTACTCTCAGAGCTCAGGCCCTCAGAAGCCAGTAGGCCCTAAAAACGACAGGACGTGCCAGCCCTCTGAAAGGTGCAGGAGAGAGGGCACTGCTGACAAAGGGAGGACTCCTACCGGAGTCAGGGTTCAACATTGTCTCTCTGCAGGGGCTTTGCCAAGAATTGGGGGACAAGCCAAAAGCTCTGCCACTTGGGTCCTCAACTGTCCAAGAGAACAAACCTATTAAGCCAAAAACATTCAACCCAAAACAGCCAAACTCACTGCCAGCAAGTCGATGCCCACCCACAGCGGCCCTTAGAGCAGGGTAGAACTGCCCCTGGGAGTTTCCGACACTAGCTCTTCACAGGAGTAGAAAGCCCCACCTTTCTCCCACAGAGTGGCTGGTGGTTTTGAACTGCTGGCCCTG